GAGCCGGTGTTATCAAGAAGCTAGATCCGGAAGCATTTTAACATTCTAAACACATTTTGGACCATTGTAACTATTCAAGTTCTAATATTTATGTGTTTTGATTAGTAAATATAAGGTTTTAAGCTTGTTTTAGTTCCCTTTATGATGTCTAACTGGAGTTTAGAAAGCTCTAGGTCCAAAGGTTGTGTTTTGGGGTCTTCTAAACCCATTGTGGTGTATATAAATGATCATTGTCTTCCATTTTGTGCCATGCAAGGATTTGGTTGCATTTTTGGTGCCATTTTGACCTAGGTTTTAGGTTGGTATTTGGGACATGAGAATGGATAAACTTAGAAAACTTTATATAGAAAGACCATATTTTGTTTTTTTTTTTTTGGAAAGTTGGAACCTTAGTCTTAATGGATTAAATGCTTAATTAGAGGATGGATTATGCCGCGTAAAGTGCGACACGGCCATGGAAGGGTCGCAGAGCGAATATTAGACTTGGTTTGCGACTGTTTTGTTGCCTAGTATCTACGACGCGACCAAGAACTCGGTTATGTTGTGTTAACCATTGAACGTTGCCTTTCTAATCGGTTTGACTTTGATAGAAACTTTGATGGATTTGAGTTATTGATTGAGGCTGACTTCTAACTAAATTTTAGGTGGTTCATGTTGATTCTTTGAGGAGACAAGTGTATGTGTTTCCATTTATTAAATTTCGGTGAGTTTTCTCGTTGTATTAATTATGTCATTATTGGATTCGCTGTGTATAAGATGCCAGTGAAATGCTATGATATGATTGTACTCTTAGCTAAACTAGTGAAGTCTTGCATGTTTATTTGTATGCGAAGTTTACATGCTTTGTATGGGATGTTGGTGAGACTAATGTTGTGATGTGAACAATGTTGTAAAACTCATTGAGTTGGCTGATTACTCCTCCGAGTACTCGCTACTCGGCCACTTACCGAGACGAGTTACAGAATCCCGAGTACTCCCCGATCATCCCTTACTGAACTGAGCATTGTTGTAAAATCTGGTCAACTCAGTGATTAATATGTATAACATCCTTAATGATTTATTATTTAACACACACACACACATGTGATTATTACTATATATATCTTAAATTTTCAGCAATTATTCCTGAAGTGAGACCATTATGTGTTTTTCAATTTTGGTGTATTCACGTGTATCTAATTTTGTTATATATTTCAATCAACTTATTATTTTAACTTATGATTTTGACAATTATAATTTCATTAAAAATATTTATACATGAACGACCGAATCTGAGTACTCCCCGAGTACTCCTAAGTACTCCCGAGTACTCGTTACTCCGTAGTCGGCCGAACAGGTACCGAGTAACGAGTTCTACAACCTTAGTTGTGAGCCTACATGCCAAAAGGTGGCGAGGTCAACGAAAGCGGTTGTGAACTGCTAATCACGAAAGTGGTTGTTACTATTTGTTACGAAAATGGTCGTGACTAGATCTCACAAAAGTGGTCGTGATGTCTGAAATTGTATGTATAGTTGTTACAATGATCTATGTGGTACTTTTGGGACTAACTAAGCTTTGTCATTACGTTTTTAAGTTAAATGTTTTTCAGATTGTTTTTCTAACAAAGGAAAGTGCACGTAAGCGCATTTAGAGATTGTTGTGTTTTGACTTCCGCAAAACTCTCATTCATATTTTGACATGTCTTTGATGATGAAAACAATTTAATAATCTATATTTTATTTTGAGAATGATTTTGGCTTGTTTACTTTAAGCTTTAAAAATGAAAATTTTGTCTAGAAATTTGGGATGCTACATTAGCCATTGTAGGTGATTAGTAGTCGAGCCAAATTAAAGATATTCACAAATAGCTTTGAATATATATTGAGAAGCATAATAAACAATATGTTGATTGTGCCAATAAACATCGCAAGTTGGTTGTTTATCATGAAGGTGATCTTGTGTGGATGCATTTGAGATATTAGGTAAGTGAGGTTTCCTAACAGGAGTTTTAGCATGCTCCAGCCAAGAGCTCACATTCATTTTTGTGTTTTGAAGAAAATCAAAGACAATGTGCAAGGGCGGAACACGAGCATTAGAACTAAGGGGGCCAAAACCAAAACTCCGTAGGATCCTTTTCAAAGGAACATAAATTGTTCATGTATCTGCCATAGTTACAAACATACACTATATGTAGTCTAGCATAAAAAATTACCTATAACTCTCTTAAAAATCAGCAACAAGTGAAACAAAATCGTCAAAACATGAAGAAAATAAATACATCAAGTGATAAGTTTAAACTAAAAAATAAGGCTATAGTTGTCCATTTTTGTGTGTATTTCTCCTTCCAAACATGTTTATATGTATATAAATGTACACACTAATATACATGTGTTTGGTGTGTATGTACAAGGCCGTATAAAAATGTGAAGCTTACAATTTACATAGGAATTAGGAATTTAGTTCAAATTGTGCATAAAAAGATAGATAAAGTAATCGTATAATTCATTATGATCTAACTAGATTTCCTATAATATACCCAACTAGTGATAATTCAGGAAAAAAAATGAGTGTGTCCTCTTTTTATCAATTTTAAATCCTTACTGAACACTTTACACAAATACTTAACATGCAAAGTTTGAAGACTACGTTTATAAACCTATAGCATAAAAATTCATGTAAAAGATCACTAGATCAATTACAAAAAGAAAAGGTAAAAAAACTTACATATCAAAATATGAAACTTCACATGTTCATCAAAACTTATTTTCAAAAAATATGAAGCCTCATTGAAGATTTTCACAAACACTTAATATGCAATTTCAAATGTTCAATACCAACAAATTTAAATTGTAGTACATAAACACTAAATTACACTTTTATCAAGAAATAAACATATCAAATTGAATAGATTAAAAAAAACTCATAAACCAGATAACCAAAAAATAACAACTTCGTATTTTCAAGGATATAGGATAAAGAGCAAAAAAAAATGAAGAGATATAGAGAGAGTGATATGGAATCGATGGGGTTTGAGGAGAATAAGTGATTTTATTTCAGTCTTACCTGTTCATAGTTTATATTCATTCTTTGTATCTCTACATCTTGATTGTTAATTGTAAAGAATCCTTCCAAAAACTATGCATTCCTGACCCTTTTTCCTAGGTAGTAGGCTTTATTACAACCATTACGGGTCATCTATGGTGAAACAAGAAGAAAAAACCAATGATTACAAACATATATTTGGTGAAAAACAGGGGGGCTATGGCCTCCCCTAGCTCTGAAGGGTTCCGCCACTAACAGTGTTTACAAGATCGAAATACTGGGTCATTACAACGTGTCTACGACGTTCAATGTTGCAAATTTGTCACCTTTCGTTGGGGATTCCGATGATGAAGCGGACTCGAGGTCAGTTAGGGATCATTTATAACCTAAAAGACACGTTTTTGCAAGATTGTAGAACTCGCTACTCGGTACCTGCTCGGCCGACTGGGGAGTAGCGAGTACTCGGGGAGTACTCGGATTCTGTAATTCATGTAGAAATATTTTTTGGAAAATTATATATGTCAAAATCATAAGTTAACATCATAATTTGATTGAAATATATAACCAAAATTAGATACATATGAATACATAAAAACTGAAATACACATAATTGTCTCACCACGTGGATAATTACTGAAAATTTAAGATATATATGTAGTAATAATCACATGTTTGTGTTAAATAATAAATCATTAAGTGCATTATACATATTAATTTTGAAATTCTTGATTTTTTCTCTTTTTATGACAATTTTGACCCTTTGACCGAGTTTGATCGATTTTGACCAAGTTGGCCGAGTAGGCCCGAGTAAGACTAAGTAGGCCCGAGTTTGTCCGATTTTTGACTGAGTTTGACCGATTTTTGGCCGATTTTGACTAAATCCGAGTTTTTTGGCCGAGTTGACATTACTCGCCTCAGTGGAGGGCCGATTCCGAGTACTCGGCCGAGTAGGCCGAGTTTTGCAACATTGCATTTTTGTCATGTACAACCAAAGATATATAGAACATATCATACAACATGTTTTTGAGAAGTATGAGTTGTTTGTCATGTACCACCAAGATATATTGAACATATCATAGTTGTTTTGTGTATGAGTGTGGGATTTTCAAAATATTTGACCCGGACACGACTAGGGGTCTGACGCAACAACAAAACAGTTTTGTAACTGCCATTAGGTGCAGTGTAATGACGATTTTATAACTGTCATTAGAGACAATTTAAGATTCTTGAACGAGACACAAAAGTGACTAATCAAAGGTGAAAATAAGAGAAACTTAGCCTGATTTGTGAAGATTTTCTAATATGTGATTATCACCCCAACCGGTAAAATAAACGATCAATTGATCCGCTCCCGCATCGCAATCCAGGAGACTCCCGTGTTCGTAATCTCTGATCGTTGTTTAAGAAACAACATTCCTATCAAACATTTCAACAAACACATGTTTGAGCATCGCATAAACAATCACACTTAAACAATCACACTTATTAACCTTGAATCTTGTTAGTTACTGTCGCATAGGTGGCTCAACCTTCTTGCTCGTAGTTGTCCTTTTCAAAGGGAATTGATTCGTACACAACAAAAAGCTTTATCACATTAAATGAATCTGATAAACCTATTTTAACTAGAAAAAAATGACATAGTTAAAACGTCAACATCAATATAGTGGTTCTTCTGTCAAAAAGGCAAAACAAATCATTGGTGATTCTCTTATAACTATCCCAAAATATATTGGACTTTTGTTTTTTACAAAATCCAAATAATAAACATAAAAATAGTTCTTTCATATTGATTTCTATTGTTCTGGTCAGAAAAGACAAACAAATAGAAGTCTTACAAACCAATATTTCGTGCATCGATTTAAAATGATTCGAATTTCAACCAACCGAAATCGATTTCTAGGAAACATACTTGTACTCATATCATTAATCTTTCCAAGTAATAAACCTATTAAGAATCGCAATTGTTTCTCTAAAAGTTCTAAGTGATTGGGCAGAACATCTGAGACAACAATGGTAGATCCCAATACGAACCACCATCGCCGCAATCATGAAGAACATTATCCCAGTACTCATTCACCCCATTCATGGCGTACAATGATGCCGATATCTGTCTCTCCACCTTCATCCTCTCGAAATCGCTCGTACTTTCGCCATCTTCATCACTCTTTTTCGAAATTGGCCCTATATTAAACCCTTCGAATCCATTCCCAGTGGTCAATGGCAAATCAGACTGTAATCCATAATAAAAACCTCCACCTGAATCGCCGATCTCGACACTCCCAGTGCAATTCGTCAAATCTGGCTTATACCCATCATCAAACACCTCAATTCCTTGATACCCAGATGAGAAATTTTCCTTCTTTGCATTGTTGACTTGTACCGTACAACTCACTGAATCACGTCGCGGGGTCACCGGAGTACTTGTTTGGGTTGTGGTTGTGGTTGTGGTGGTGTTTTTGGCGGTGGCGTTTTGTCGAAGGCATTTCTTGTGATTAAGCAAGTTTCGGATTTTGAGAGAGAGAGCAGAATTGATCGGCACATGATGGATGAAATTGGTTCTGGCGTTGGCTCCTCGGAGTAAATACGCCGCCTCATCGTAGGCTCTGGCGGCTTCTTCCGCCGTGTCGAAAGTCCCTAGCCACATCCGGATTTTCTGAGTGGTGTTTTTGATTTCCGCCACCCATTTGCCGGAGGGCCGCTGTCTAACACCGACAAACTTGTTTCTACTCGAATTCCGGCCATTTGTGCTGCCGAATCGGCCTTTCTTGGAAGACGATGAAGATGAAGATGAGAACTCATAGTTTTGAAAGTTCAATTCCATTTCTATTTATTTTTTTAACAAAGAAATTAAATTTGAGTGTTTGACTTATTGTGAAGGATTGAAGGGGGGTTTAAATAGGGGTTTTAAGTTCATGGTGAGCTCGTCTTGTTGTTAATGGAAGCTTATAGAAGTTTGAATTGTTTTTTGGAGGTTGTTAATGGTTGACTGAAATCACAAAGCTTTGAAATAGGAGTGGGGACTATGTCATTAACGTTATTAATGATTGATACTTATCTGGTTTTTAAAACCTCCAAAACCAAAAGTTTAAATAAATCTAGATGATGATGCGATTAAATTTGTAATTGTTTTAGTGGCAACGGGTTGGATTTGATTATTCGAATGTTGGAAAAGTTTTTGTCTTTTTAGACAAGTATTTTGGAACATCCAAATTCATTGTGACCATGTTATAATAAAGTTTATTTCAGAGTTGGTTTTGAAATGATATACTTATAGAAAAGGTTAGACTATGGCTCTTTATTTCGGCCATCAATAGACTTTTCTTTATCTGATTTATCTATATATTGGTTCAAAGATTGCTAGAAGAATAACTTATATGAACTTATATATACAAAGAATAACTCTTTGTACATATATGATAAGAAAGTGGATATTATATGTTAAAAACTCGTACCTTGTACAAGGTACTCTATAATTTAAGAAAATAAGAACCAATCATATGTGGTCATAAGTAGTGAAAAGTATTTATGGAACTGTTAATTCAAGGACAAAAGGGGTATAAAAGGTTGACATTGAAAACAAAGGTAAAAACAAAAATGTAACCTTCGAATGTTGTTGTCAAATGGTAAGAGCCTCACTCGGTCAACTTAACAACCTAAGTTGCCATCACGAAGGCCTGCTTTTAAGTCTTGTCCCCCACTCCTTTCTTCTCTGCTTATTTTATATCTTTGCAAATCTAATTTGATTCCAATCGTTCAAATGACACAAATATATTTAAGATAATTCCAATGACTATCCTTCAAATCTTGTGTTTCCTGTTAACATAAACATGTCAACTGTTAAACAACAAAGCGTTTACTTCTTTGTAAGCAATTTTTCATATACTTCAAGAAGTTTGATACAACTATATTCATTTCAACGGATGCTCAAAACCCGTTTACAAATGAAAATTTTGTGGATATTTGGTTCACAATGTTGCTAAAGAATTGGAATTTGATGGAATCCAAAACTATGGCGAACTTAATTGAAATTTCACGAACAAAAAATAATTGGAATTTGATGGAATCCTATGTGGTTTGAAAACTTTTAACATATTGTCTTTATGGCTAACAATGTTTTTTTTTGTTTGTTAAGTTTGAACTTGGTCGAGATATGTGAGGGCAAAGTCATCATTTAACAACCACATGAACCAATTTTGAAGACTTGTCTTAAAATAACTTATTAACCCACTCTTAGACTATAAATATCAGAACATATAAATATCATGGACCAAACCTGTAAATTAATCTCTTCTTCCCCTTTTAGCCTCTCATACAACCTCCCTTTCCGCTCCATCCCCACCCCTAAAATTTTGTGTTGCGATTTTGTGAAGGTGGTGTAGGAGACCGGATCTTCATCTTTGAATTCATGAACTCTAGCAATCTTGTTTTCCACCATCTTCATCTCTTTCATCAACTACACCACTTTGAATATCGTAGGTATCTTTTTCATCATTTCTCTTTTCCCATTTCTCCTCATGTCACTCATCACTATCCCTCAAATTCGGCCATACATGTGATTTCCTAAATGCCTAACCAATTTTTTCGAGTAAGGTCTTGTTCTTGATATACACATCAGAATGCTTTTTCATCTGCCATGGTGGGTTCCAACGACATGAACGAGTTTGTATTTTGCTTGTTTTTATGAATTGATTGTTGGATAGCAAAACTATAGAACCCCCAACTCGAAATAAACAATTGGGGATCAACATGGATTTTTTGTTCCTGAAATACCAATTTTGGGTGATGTTTTTGGTGCTGACATGTGATAACTGGGAAAACTTTGTCACTGACCACCATTAGAAATTAGCTTGGATAAATATATGTAATAGAGTGTAAATCTAATATTTCATTTTTATAAATAAATATGATTGAGTATACTCTTATATATAAGGGAAAATCGACGCACACACTCAAAAATGAGTATCCAAAAGTCATATTGCTTTCTAAATTGGTTAACATATTCGAAAAGTACACGACGATATGATTCCAAGGATATAAGATTCGTAAAAATCTAACTTTGATTGGAGGAGTTATGATTTTTGTAAAAAGTAAAATTAATCGTGAAATTAAAGTTATTAATGTCGAAATCGGATTAAGAAATTGGTCAAGTTTTGGATAGTGTCACCAAAAGGAAAGTCATAGTATTTTCTCAAAGTCAGAACAATAAGACAAAGAAAGTTGAAAATGGAGACCGTATAAAAAATATATGATTTTAATAAAATCATTAGTATCATACCTCGTTGGGCCAAAAGGTGAAAGTGAAAACTAGCAAAACAATCTAAAGGAAAGTTATAGTACTAGTTGAGACCATCACACATATATAAAGAGGGTTAAGATTAGAGCTTATAAGCATGAGATATGATTTTTACAAAATTATTTCTATGCTTGTGAGATGCACGCCTTGCTCATCGCGCATTATGACCCTGGATTCGTGCAGATTACGGGTGATGTGGCCCAACGAGAGAGTAACATGTGGCGACTCCCAGATGGAGCCACGAAGCTTACGCGTGACACACACAGATAATTGCATCGTGCGTACCTCAAAATCCTACTATAAATAGAAGTGTTCGCAGACCTCAACTGCTATGACAACCATCACTTTCTGGTCAAGTCAAAGTCAAATAAAATCAACAAGTCAAATCGGTCAACTCAATTAACCCTTATATATTAGGGTTTACATTATGTTTACTATTGTACAACACACTATCTTAATGCAAAGTATCACTTAGAGTTTTCACATGTTCAGAAAATCTAAACCCTAATCAGGGTAAGTGATGGTTCTAGTCGGTAAAATATTATTACATACCCTCCGGGGGCGAATAACACTCATAACGAGGCTTAATGGGGTTTACAAACCTTGCGTTGCGAAGCTAAACACTCACAAAAGTCACAAGCATGATCTTTCCCAAATTTCTCTCAAAATCCCTTTTAACTTTTTATAATCACCTGGGGCATCCCGACCCTTAACTTAGTCAAAAATCACTCGAACGAGAAGTTTATTTGAAAACCAGCCATATAGGGCCGAACCCTCTTAGAACCGAACCTCTTATAGAACCGAAACCTCTCCATTAGAACCGAAACTACTCTTAAGACTGAAGTCCCTCTTAAGGACCGTAGCCACCTTCAGTTCGGTTCTTTACACTTCGGTTCGGTCTCACTACTTCGGTCCCAATCTGCTTTCAGTTCACTTGTTCTCGGTCCATCTCGCCTCGTTCGGGTCAAGCCATTTTGGACCGAACATACCTTCGGTCTTGAAGAAAACTTCACTCCGAAGATCACCAACCTTCAGTTCTCAGCACCATAGACCGAGCCAACTTTTGGTTCCATGCTGCACCAACCGAACCCTCGCATGCTCGCTACTTTCTTCCCAGTTTTTTACCATTTTCGCATTTTAAGCCCATTTTTGATGATTTTGACGGGGGATTTTCACCCAAACCTATATTTTAACATATTAAACCCCATAAATCCATATTTTAATCATATTTTGGGGAAAAATTTAATATCTTTTGTACAAGATATTGTCCATGAGTGTTGACTTTTCCAAGAAGTTATGACACCATACCCACTTTATGTCACTATTCACATCAGCCCTAGTCAAGTCATTGTACTTTTCTACTCTTCCCCAGCACTCCATCAGGTTTCTTACACCAAATCTATACAAAAATCTATATTTTTCGCACTTCCCAAAAGTTTCATTCATCATCATCAAAGATCAAACATAACCTCTCTCTCTTTTCTCATGTTTTCTCTCTGGAAGCAAGGACTCCAAGAAAGTCATGAGTCCTTCCCTCATTCTTGATAATTCCTTCATCCTACTCTAAAATATTCTACACTCTTTCACTCAAATCATGGATCATATACTCAAATATCGACATACTTGTTCTTAGGATCTTAAATTCCTCAAGCATTCTCTAAGTGTTCTTGACTTGGAAAATTCTTTTCTTTAATATCCATCCCAAGAAATCACTCAAGGTGAGTTCATACCACCACATTTTCATGTTTTCTTCAAGTTTTAAGGGGGGGGGGGGGGGGGGGGATACAAGTTAAATCACCTTAACACAACTCAGACTCATACTTCATCTTTTCACAAAAAAGTTGAGTTCCATTCGCGGACTGTTTTGACCATCTTAAACTTTATATATTTCAAAACTGTTTAATATGCAAGTATTTCAGGTTTATACCTTTCTAATTACTACTTGCACATCTCCATACGATTTTCTACAATTTATGGTGATTTTTACAAAAGTGCATATCATTTCAGAAATGAATTCAGACCAGTCTGTGAATATGAACATTTTCACACAAGTTAGAGATCACTAAAAATTGTAATACAAATTATGAACAAACTAGACACATTTTCTAAACTCTCAGAGTTTACAGATTTAGTTTTCAACTTCGTATGATTTTTCTATGATTTTTCTAAAATAGTGCAGAAAAGTTAAAAACTAGTTAAACATCTTACAATATTAACAACACTTTGTAACATGTTGAGAAAAGTGTATAACAATAAGTTTCTAAATGTTGAATGAATTTCTTGTTAGTTTAACATCATAATCAGAAATTAGTCATTCATGATAAGGGTTTTGATTCACTTCAAACACGTACAATAAACTATAATAGGTATAGTTTATGGGTTTTACATTACAAACATACTACATAAAAGAGGATTTACTTCCACCACAGAAAAGGTTTTACAGTCCAGCCACACGTAAACTCGTTAACGTAAATTGTGAGACATGTCTTCATTGTACTCTTAGAGTACGGGTTTAAATTCCTGTAAGT